CCCTTTTCAGTCCAGTGTAGTCCTGAAAGAAACCAGAACCCAAAAGTCGGATTGCTGATGTCACACTTTCCATCGTCAGCTCACTGTCTTTGGATTCCTTTGTCTCGACAACACACGTTTCTTGTCTTCAGGCAGCAGTTTGCTTCCACGCAAGATCACATAAGCTTGAAGTTCAGCCAAAGTCATTTGACGGGCTAACAATTCAGTCCAAACCACATCGCATCTTGATAGGTATGAATCCGATGTTTCATCAGCTTTCTGTGTGCATCTATACAAAGCTCTTTCTGCCAGTTCAAATCGTTTTTCCAATGGGATTTGACCCCATGTTCCTCCAACCATTTCCACAAGCCGTTGAATACCTTTTTCATCATTGGTCAACACCTCCTTGCGAAGCAGCTGAAGTTTCTGATAAGCCGTTCCCTTACAGCCCAAAATCAACCTCGTAGCCAATTCACTCAGCTTGGTGGTCGGCCATGTTGCAAGTAATAATTCAACTTTGCTTGTCCAGATATCCACATTGTCCGTTGCTGGGTCAAAACTTGGTACCAAACTGGCTAGTTCTTTGGGAACTATCCCTGTAGTTTCACCTCCAGAAGCTTCGCTCATCCCTTCCAGTGGTAATTGTACCCAAAGTCGAAACCTTTGATTGGTCCCTGGTAGCGCCCTTCGAACCGGGCTCCGCTACCAATCTCGAAAGATTGGTAGCAGCCCAACCTGAGATCGCCTGATCTCCTTCAACTCCAAAAGAATGATCCCTGATCAATGGAAATGGATATGTTGTAGATCCCTGATCTTCTAAACCAAATAGTTCCCTCCCGGCCACAGGAGCGTAGCACCCTTTTCCAATATGGCGCTCAAGGCAAAGATCCCCCCCGCCTCAGGCTCACCTCGAGCCTATGCCCTTTGCTGCGGAAGCACAAGGGTGTTGGAACATGTGATCTTGAACAGGCCATGGTTTCTGTTGGTTTTCAGAATATATATATATATACATATATATATATATACACACATATCCATTTCTTTGGCTCAACTGGGGCTTTTGAGCCCTCACATCCATGCAGCTGGGCGTGGAAGGCGGAAGTTACTCTGATCAACCCCTCAACCACTTGGCGTTCAAAGGTCCTTGGTTTCCGTATCAAAACGTCATATTTTGTGGATGATTTTGGGATCCATTGGAGAAGCCCCCGAATAGAAGACCAGTTTTTTTTGTGGGATGATTGCCACTTGACTATACTTGACCCTGTGGAAGTCTTGGAAGGCCTCGACGCTGCAAAATGGATGAGAGGCCACCAGTTTCACCCAATCAGTAGGATCCTCCAACAGTTTGCATTTTTTGCCAGAGAAGAAATGGGAATGAGCCAAAACGTCATACTCCCAAGGAACTGCAATGGTGTAGCTGTTGATGCAGACCAACAAGATTTGATGACAGTGCAGACGTTGCACGTTGCAACGTGAGGATGAGATACAGTTTGTTCTTCAAACATGCCAATTCAATTTCTTATGAAAAAAATCAGTACACGGGGCCATGGGGTATCGTCCATGGCCGTGTATTGGTGAAGGCGAGGGTAACGGGTAACTCAATCTGGGATTGTATATTTGGGGCCATGACAACATTCCCTCACAAGCGAGCCAGAAAGCAAATGATCGCTGAAGGCTAAAGGGAGCGCCCTGTTGAATTGCGCATCGTGCTCCGCAACTCGGCAGAAGGCACTTTCTACCGCAGAAGTCGGCGTTGGGTTGAGCCTGAAGTGGCGGCGTGGGATACTCGACACGCTTGGCATCTGAGGTAAGAGACATGGCCACCACGGTGCGGGCCTGAGATTCTTCAACCCCCCGGTTGCACCAGCTCATAATTACACGTAGGGAAATGATAGTGACAACAAGGGAAAGTTGCCATTTTACCTCTAAATTTCCGCAGTTTTCCCGCCCCAAAGGTGTCTGGTGTGTAGGGAGTCCATCTCGACATGTGAGGTGCCGAGCCCACGAGAAGCTGGGCTAGGGGACCCAAATCTGGATGCAGTCGATGATTTTTTTTAAAGATAAGATGATGATGATAATCAGATATAATCAGTGGATTCATCCTGACTGAGGGGTACAGCACATTTTCCGACAGAGCCATATACCTTGATGGACATGTTCCAGGGTGACTTAAAACAAAACACTTGGATGTCGATGGATGTCCCACATAGATTCCTAGATTTTTTCAATCTCAAATTTTGAGAGATTTTTTCCATAGATATATACCCCCTATTTATTTCCTGGAGAATTTTTCTTTGAATATTCTGGATAATTGGGGTATACTCCCCAGTGATTTCCATATGGGGACGATGGGACGGTGCTGCTCCAAAGGCTCCGACTCAGGTTTCTGCCCAATCTCAGTCCGCATTTGGTGCCGCGTGCCCCGACCTCGCCCAAGGCACAGAATCTGGGATCAATTGATGATGGTTAGTAACGGTCAGTAAGGACCATTGAATTGAGATAGTAATGATGGTTAGTGATGGTTAGTGATGGTTAGTGATGTTGGTATGTTCAGGTGGCTAAATGATTCAATTGATTTTCAGCAATGGATATACTGTAGCATTGTGATGCATTGTGCACTAAGAGGCGCTGTCTACTTGTTGGTGGTTTCGAAACCTTTCTTACTTTCGAATCCCTAGCTGCGATAAAAGATTGTAAACAACAGCAGCCTTCCACCTGTGTGGGTCTCTTCGTGTCAGGCGGTGCGGAAATTGAGGCATCACTCGGAAGTCCCGACCAAAGAGGTTCTGCCTCTGGCAGCGTTGCCCATTTGGGTCGGTCAGTGACTTAAGCCGATTGGGTGGTGACACATCAGGGACTTGAAGAATTTTTTAAGTCGAAAAAAATCGTTGGTGTGGATATTAGTGGTACTGGGCATCCCATTGTTTCTTGCGGTTCTTCCCTATTTGAACTGCGCAAATCTTGTACCAAAGGCCTGACCCCCATTCTGAGCAATGGCCATTTCACCAAGGTTGTGCTACCTGTGAAGATGTTCCAGTGAAGAGCATCAAGAACATTGTGTCTTGGACAATGCAGACGTGGGGGGACGAACAAAAAGAGGGAATCGTACGAATTGGGATGTCACCACAAATTGGGGACCTCCCTTGGTGGTTTCAGACGCTTGTTCGGGATGGTTCATCTGGAGACGTGTTTGGAATGGGTTGGTTACCGTTGGTTACCGTTGGTTACCGTTGAAACCACCAAGCACAATAGCATCATGCCATCAATCAACCCATTGCGCCAGGTTCCGCAAGACTTACACCACCACGTGGCGGTCTCAGTTTGTTTTAGCTGTTTGTGTCCTGGCCGATGCGACTAAATCCTAAGGATGTTTCCACAGTGTTAAAGCACATGTAACCAGCATGGGATAGACTCGAACAAGCATAATTATCCGTACGTATATTAGAATATATGTGTATACATATACATATATATATATATACATATAAAGTGGATGGAGCTAGGAATCCAGGCAGTACAGAATCTCACAAGGAATGCTGCTTGGAGCCAAGTGCTTCGCTATAGGAGGATGTGATGACTATCCATGAAGCAGAAGGAGACGCTTCGTGGGATCCTTGGGATGTCCGCCACCAGGGGTAGAGCATTTTGACCCACAGCCATGTGTCAAAAACATGACTCCAATAGAACCTCTGCCACTTTTTATTACTCAAAACCATCAATCTGGGCAAGATGGCTGCTATACCAGAGCTACACAAAACGGATCATCATCATCATCATCATCATCATCACCATCATCATCACAATCACCATCACCATCATCACCATCATCATCATCATAATCATCATCACCATCACCATCACCATCTCCATCACCACCATCACCACCATCATCATCATCATCATCACCATCACCATCTCCATCTCCATCTCCATCACCACCACCACCACCATCACCACCACCACCACCATCATCATCATCATCATCATCATCATCACCATCATCATCATCATCATCACCATCACCATCATCGGCATCACCATCATCATCATCATCATCACCATCTCCATCACCATCACCATCACCATCATCATCATCATCACCATCATCATCATCATCATCATCACCATCACCATCACCATCATCATCATCATCATCACCATCTCCATCTCCATTTCCATCACCATCATGATCAGCATCATCATCATCATCATCATCACCATCACCATCATCACCACCATCACCATCACCATCATCATCATCATCATCACCATCACCATCTCCATCACCATCACCATCATCATCATCATCACGATCATGATCAGCATCATCATCATCATCATCACCACCATCACCATCATCATCATCATCACCATCACCATCGCCATCACCATCATCATCATCATCATCACCATCTCCATCACCATCAACCATCACCATCATCATCATCACCACCATCATCATCATGATCATCATCATCATGATCATCATGATCATCATGATCATCATGATCATCATGATCATCATTATCATCATGATCATCATGATCATCATGATCATCATGATCATCATGATCATCATGATCATCATGATCATCATGATCATCATCATCATCATCATCATCATAACCACCATGGCGGTGATGGCGTTGAAGGATGACGGGTTGCTGCACGGAGGTTTTGCTATGCATATGCTCGATTTGTGGAAGCCGCCGAGAATCTGGAACAGGTCCGGAAGATGGAACGTTATCGTAGGAGGATGTTGAAATAGGGGATGTCTCAGAACCCATGTTGTACCGCTGTAGCATATGTTTAAGGGATGAAAGTCCAAAACTACTAGCTATTCAGTAGCAAACAAATATGTTTGTCATTTTTGTTGCTTGCTTAAATCCATCCAGTGAAAGATTGGTTCCGTGGATTTTGCTTGAAATCTAGCTTGGGGTGCCCATCATTTGCGATGAAACGAAGGAAGATGGCTATTTTCCGAGACGTTTTTGCATGATCTTCCATTTTTTAAATTTGACATGGTTTGGTCTGAAGATAGGGCGGGTCCTCCCAATTTGATTTTTCATGGCTTCTCGAGGGTTCACCGCCAGGCCATCAGTGTCCGCCAGCAGCTGCTGGGCGACGACCATGAGGAATTCCTGCGGTCCATTGAAAGCTATGCCTGGGAACCCGTCGAGGGATGGTGTCAAGACCTATGGGGATTCCATCTATGGGAGATGAACATCATCTATAACTCTGACAAACCCACCTTTTTCGGAGGATTCTCGAAGTTTCAATGAAACATCATGAAACATCATGAAACCAAGTCTAGAGATATGGCTGAGGGTCAAAACCCATGGAATCCCCAAGGTGAAGCGAAAAATAGGTGGTAGTTATGGATGTTCATCCCTTAAACAATGGGATACACTTGGGGGGATGAATGCTGTAACACAACTACCAACTATTTCGGTGTGAACCCAAGGGAATTCCGTGCTTTTTGACCCACACCCATTTACCCTACTGTAGATATTTTCAGTTTGATCCTGATATTCGTGAAGTGTTTAGGTGGAAGCTCATCTTCCAGTCTACGGCAGGGTCTATGTTAGTTCGGAGGACGGTAGCCACTGAAAAGATCGCACAGAAGAACTGGGCTAAGTTATATCATATCTGGCAAGCATTTTACGAATATCATCTGATAGCATTTGCATATGATGGGATAATAATGGGTAATGGGTAAGGGCTCATTCGGGTTACAAACTTGTTTTGCGAATGGCAGATGACTTTAGGATTTGAAACAATCTATTTTGACGCTTTATAATTTCAACCCACACCTTTGCCTTCAAACTTCCAATGATTGAACCAAATCGGATGGTTGAAGAGTAAGAACAACACATTTGGGCTTTCGGCCGGTTCAACCCCAGACTTCACCCCACTCGTTGTGACTCTCCCGAAACTTTTGGTACGAAAAATAAGCCGACTAAGCCATTCCTTAATGCAGCGACAGCGACAGGGAGGGACAGCATTTTGCTTATGATGTTGAGCTCTTGAGCTCTTGAGCCACCGGACTTTGCAATTGCATCAATTGCACAACGGCGCGCTGGCATTCTGAATCTCAAGCCGCAATTGTTTCTTCGTTTTTTGTCTAAAAGTTGGAAGCACCATGGGAAGCAATTGCGCCTTTGCCTGGGCCTTACATCAAATCGCAGAGACACCCAGACATACGGTGAAGTGAGCTAGTCATCACCAACACCTCGAGTTGAGATGACTCAAATCGCTTTCTCTTGGTGACTTGTAGGTAATTTATGGATATTTATGGTAATATGACATGTGTAAGTCTAATTTCGGAGTGAGATCAGAGGTTCACATGGTTCACGCCGAGTTTTCTGAGGATCTTCACCCAAAGATGCGGATCTCGCGGCCATTTGTTGCCGACGCCCACGCCGCGCTGCGGCTGAAGGCGTTGTGTCTGGAGCCCCCGCGACTGTCCCAGAGGTCGTTGGGCCGAGATCACGCGGTCAGTGAACATCTCAGCACAAGTCACAAGGACGGCGGTGTCAACGTCCTGTTTCCCACTCGTTGATCAATGGAGGGACTATGAGGGACTGGTACCTGAAAATATGTTTTCACAAGCACAGTCTCAATGGTACCAGAGCCTACCAAACCCATGGCTTTTTTGCAAAAGAACTTGGAATTGTAAAGCACGGTACCCCAAGATCCGGTGGCTTAAAACCTCGCTTTCCTCATTTATACAATCGCCAAAATTAATAGATGAACTGCTCTCAGATGCGACAAGGAGCCTACTCATGCGATTGAGTGCAGCGCCAGTCCGATCCAGAAGGCGCAACCTGCGTGGGTCCCCAATCGGAGCCCTTGACTTGGAGCAGCTCGGCCAGAATTGCGAAAGGATTCTACAACTGCCAAGTTCAAGACCCAGGGAACCATTCTTGATGGATCAAATGGAGCAAAACCAACTACTTATGTTATGTACATTTAGGCATTTGCATAATTATATATGTACCATAATGGGGGGATGAACATCTATCACTACCAAAACTACGAGCTATTTTGGCTTGAACAGACGTGTACCATCGGTAGGACCCTTGGAGTAACGGGTACGCTGAAATAACAGTTTAACAGAACAGGACGATGAACCGCGGCTTTTTTTGGTACCCAATTTTAAGACAAACCAACATTGTACTGGAACATGTGCACATGTTACGTAGCTACATCACTATCCCAATTACATGTGCACGGTGAAGGGCTTGTCACGCTTGCCGGCTTGACGTTGGTGGACAGCCAAGGACAAGGGTGAGCTTGGTAATTCTGCCAAGGACACATGGTGCATAGCAATAGTCACCTCTGACAAAAAGTTTGAGTGGCTGATCATGGGCTGAACAACAGATTTCAGCTTTCGGAGAAACCTACCAGCGAGATCCAGCGAGCACATTGAAACATCCAATAATCAGATGCTTGGTTTGATCGAGAGCTGACTTCTGGGAACACGGCCCAGTGGTCCAAGATGCATGATTTTGAACTGCTTCGGGGAATCAATGCGAGTGTCGGCTGGTGGGTTCAAGATGACCCGCCCTCGACTCTGCCCCCGCCCCTGTTTTCAATTAGTGCACCGGCAACATAGGCATTCCTGCCAAATTTTCAGCCTGTTGGCCCGTTGGCTAACCCTTAGCTGTAGGGTGTGTCAGCCTTGTGATTTCAGGCATGTTTTTTCTCTGATGAATGGTGAAAACTCAACTGCTCGATGGTACACCCCTCTTTTGCTTTAGCTGCTAGCTCCGCGACAAGACTGCAGAGTCAAATCGGCTTTGCGGTTCTAAAACGGCGACGGCCGTCAGGGCTAAGGAAAAGTAAATGTGCTGCTCAGGAGATTGAAGAACTTCTATGGGAAAAACATGGAGAAGCTACACCATGAGAACCCTGGAAAGATATCGAAAGATGGGGTTTGTCAAAAAAAGGCTACACCCAAAATCCAGTGGTTTATATATATATATATACATATATATATAATATAATATATATATATAGAATATTTTATAATGTTTATCTTGGTCTATAGTATGTTGGTATATTGGTTCAGAAAATCCTTCATCGCCTGACGCAAGGTGGTCTCTTGCAACAATTGGAGTGTGCAATGCATGAGCAAAGGCGAGAGTTTCTCGGGTGGCGAGGAACTCGGGGCAATGGGCTGGCCATGGCAATGGTTGGATGTTGGTTGGATAAGTTGGATTGCATGTGGCTCTTTAAGAAAATAATATATAATATGTGGGTTATTAACTGAATGGCATAATATGTGGGTTATTACAACTATAGTTAGTTATAATATGTGTGTTTTGGAGTCTTCATAACTAAAGATTTGAGATGACACACCCAGAAGGGTAGGACATTTTTGAGCCTCCGGGGTTAGCGGTTAGCTGTGAAGCACAAAGAGCCGCTGTTTCAATGTTTAGAAGATTTTCTTAGTAGGCTTCTAAATCCATAGCCACGGCCACGTCAGTTTGGAAGTCCGATTTTTGGATTTAGGTTCAGACTTTGATTCAGATTATTCTCAGACTTTTTCATAGAGAGAGAATACAGAATGAAGAAGTTCATAGAATTGGATGATGGGAAAATTTACAGGAAAGCCCTATATTTGATGGTAAAAACCATGGTTTCCTGTAGATTTTCCCTTAAACCAATCCAATGAGAAGTCCCTCTTTGATCCAGATCAGAATGCAGTGACGAATGGTCAGGGAACTTCACCGCAGCGTTGGAGTTGCTGAAGAAAGCGGAGGTGCTATGACCTACTGGACCCTACTGGACCTTGCTGGATGTGAGAGGTGTTATTTTTCTTAAAGGGGATGTCTTTATGTTTCAAACTGCTAGTTTGCATCTCTGGTGTGATCTCCAAGTCAATTTTATTGGGGACACAAAAAGCTACCAACCACCTGCAATTCCTAAGATCAGGCCCGTGCAAGATTCATCTCTTCAAGTGGGAAACCAACAATCCTCGGGGCTGCTTTTTGGACATATGTCATATGACCTATGACTGCTATGACTCCTAGGTCCCAAACTTGATGTTCTTTGAAGAGACATTTTCTTAATATTTTTTTCCATTACGCATGGGATGGTCGGTCATTTTCGTGCGAGGCAATGACAGAAGCGGACAACGTTCCGAACTACCAAAGGCGAGTAGTTTTGCGAGCAGTCACCTTCAACAACCTTTGTTGCTGCCTGACTGCAATTAACAGAGAACAACACCCCCAAATCCTGTAGTTTAAAATGTTGATTTTCCCAGTAGCACACGGCAATTTTAGGGTATACAGGTATAGCGCGATGCCATCCCCATTTCTGAACTAACCTGTCTTGTGGAGGACATGTGGGCCTTACCACAGCTGTTTTCAATATTGATCAAGTCGAATCGGTGTAGTTGGAGGTGGGGTCAGCCCCCAATGCCCCCCAAATATCACAAGAATTGACAAGAATTACCCTCTGGTGAACTAACATAGCAATGGAAAATGGCTATTTATAGTGGATTTTCCCATCAAAAATTGTGGATCTTTCCATTGCTATGTTAGTTCACCAGAGGGTACAAATTGTGCAGTTTCCATGTTATGGATGATGTAAATCAAGTGGCCTCATAGAACCACTGCCGCGGATGTCCGGCCAAGTGTTTGAAGCCCAGGCTACTACCGCAGCCGCGGTAAGCAGAATGCAGCCCTTCAGTGCTTGACCCAAAGCTGTTTGAGCGCTCGGCCAACTATGTATGTATGAATATGATATATGATATATGATATATGATATATGTATATGTATATGTATATGTAGATGTAGATGTATATGTATATGTAGATGTATATGTATATGTATATGTATATGTATGATAATATATGTATATGTATATGTATGATAATATATGTATATATATATAAAACATATGTATATTTTATAGTATTATATATAATATAACATTATATATTGTGTATATATTATATTATATTATATATACACATATGAATTTATTTATATAATATAATATAATATATAATAATATAATATTATAGAATAATATAATATATAATAAAATATATAATCAAATTTAAAAGAATATGAAATAATATAAAATTAAAACCAATATAATATAAAATATTGTATTTATAATAACATAATATTTATAATCCAATATAATATAATATATCTATAATACAATATATAGCGCAATATAATACACTATAATACAATATAATACAATATAATACAATATAATACAATATAATACAATATAATACAATATAATACAATATCATACAATATCATACAATATAATACAATATAATACAATATAATACAATATAATACAAAATAAAGTAATATGATATATAATATAACATAATATAACATAATATAATATAATATAATATAATAGAATATTAAATAACACAATATAATATAATATTATAATACAATACAATAAAAAATAATATAAAATATTTATAATACAATATAATGTAATATATTTACAATCCAATATAATATAATATATCTATAATACAATATAATACAATATATAATATGTAATATAGAATATAATTTATAATAAAATATAATATAGTATAAGATAATATAATACAATAAATAATATTATGGTATATAATATAATGTAATATATATAATATAACATAATGTAATACAATAGAATGTAATATAATATAATATATAATACAATATATAATATAATATAATATAAAATATGACATAAAATGAAATAAAATAAAATAATATATAATATATAATATATAATATAATATCATATAATATCATATAATATAATACAATATAATATAATGTATATATAATATAATACAATATAATATAATATAATACAATATAATATATAATATCATTTAATATCACATAATATCATATAATATAATAAATATATCATAATGTATATATAAATAAATATATATATATATACATAATATGATATTATATAATTAAGTGAAACAACGAGACCCAAATATCCGGCTGTTCTCGATGCGTCTGAAATGAAGTTCTCCTTGCGCAGTGACGGTCTCCAGAATTTGAAGGGTTGGAGGCAGGTTTTGATTCAAACTCAGGTTTGCTGAGCAGTGCTTGAGAATAGAGCAGCACTACAAGGAAGCGGAGAATGCCGTGCTTTTCTCAGTGGAACAGCTGGAACTGCTGAGCAGTGCCTTCCAAAAGCTGTTCAGTTTTCCACGTCCCGGAGGCGCGGACATACCTGAATTACGGTGTGCTTTTGAGCACCACTGGTGGGAAGCTCAAAGCCTGCCATGGCGGGGGTCTCTCCAATGGTTTGATAAAGTTGCTGCGACCCCAACTTGCTGTTAGACTTACGCCAGGGTTCTGAAACAAATAAAATCAGACCCCTGGCTGCTGGTTTCAAAGAAGGGCATCCCAACACTTGGGATGATGATCTCCAACTGAAAGATGGTTTCTGGATGGGGTTGAAAAACATGCTAACCACCAACGACAGCGACGCTGCAGTGCTTGAAACGAAAGGTCGCAACGGAGAAGCTTTGGAGCAGATTGAGAAGGCGCAAACCATGGATTTTTTTCGTACTTACCCATACGGATCATATGGGAGCAGCTCAAATTTAACATTACCTCCAAAAATAGATGGTTTGATCATGTTTATGTTTAACATGTTAATATTGAACATGACCTGCCATTTGTGTTTCTGGTCGCCACAACCATGTGGTTCCAGTGATTGAAGTGGCACAAAGTCAAAGACCTCATAGCGAGTTCCGGGCCTGTGGTTCTCCCAGACTTGCAAGGAAAAATCTATAGAGGAAACCATCCTAACTTCATCAAAAGTGTCAATAAGAACATGGCAAAGTCGCAAAATTCTCCTGAAACTTCGCAACGAAATCCTTGGATCCAGGCGTTTGAAGTCTTGGAGTTTCCACGTGCCTGAGATCCCGCTCAGGCTTTGGCAGTGTTGCATGACCGGGAAAGAGAATCCCCAGAGGCCTGCCGTGTCGGATGCGTTTCCGATGCTAATGATTCCCGATGATGGATGCTTGGTCAAAACGATTTGAAGCTGTGAACACCGTAGAGAAGAAAGGGGGGAGCTCTCTTTCTAGCAACGGAGGTGGAATTGAACATTTCAAAGGCATTCACTGCACAAACTAGGGTCTTTTCCAATCTGCAGATTATGCTGTACTTGTCTGTGACAGTCGCTAGGATTTCTTCATTTCCAGGATGTACCTTTGACTTGGACCTTTTGCTGCCATGCGCTTGAAGATAGTTATAGTTATATGTGAAGTTCTTCCAGGCACTCTTGTTACTATCGCCCGGAACCAGCCAGAAAAACATTTCGGAACCATATATGATGGTATATCAATGTGGGCAGAATTTTTTAGAAAGAAATCATAAGGCTGAACATCTTTGAATAGTTCAATACAAGTTCCAGATCTTGTTATGTTCTCCACAGCATTTGCAGGGATGAAAACTTGAGAATAACTCGCAGGTCAACCTAGAGACCTCACAGATGCTGGTCGTGATGAACTCAGCCGATGAAGAAGCTGTTGGCAACCGTTTCAGCTGAAGAGAAGAGGTGCTCCCACAGCGAATAGGTGTTGTTTGTCCGAAAACTAGGGATACCCAAGACAAATATTTTGATAAGGAAAATGCTGCTGAACCATGATAAACCATCAAATTTGGTGGGTACCCTATTTCAGAGCTCCTGCTTCTCTGGTGAAGTATAGCGAAAGACGGGGAGGCTACCCACCCATCCCAACCACCGTGTTGACTCACTCAGTGACTCAGTGTTGGCAGTGCCTGGCGAAGGAAAATCCAGGTAGTTCCAATGAATTTCTACAGCCCGGGCTGTTCTTGCTGGATTCCAGCGAACTATCCCCCATTTTTGGAGAGTGAGATTATATAGATAACATCAGATAAGTCAGCAATTTGATCTTGGATGAGTTGAAGCTTGGATGGCTGTTCGTGAAGAATTCGGTTCATTCCGAGTCCAGGTGGCGCACTACAACACCTTTGTGGAGCATTTGCGGCTGAAGCAAAATGCCACAGGCGCGAAAGGGATGGGTAATCCATGGTAATCCGGTAAAGGCCATGGCCAAGTGAACCAAACATAGCTGGGCATTTTGAGGATCAAACAATCCAATTTTTTTAGCCACAAATGGCTTCATCACTGCTCATGTGATTGGAATATCAAGTACTGAGGTATCTACAATCCTCTGAAGATTTTGTACTTGGTTTGATCCATAGCTCCAAGCTTTGTCGCTTCCACAAACACGTCGCCCTATGACTCCATCCTTTGAAATAGGAGTAGGGTATTTTTCCAGATGATTATATGATATGAATGCATGACATACAATGTAACCATTGATTGGGCAAAGGCTGAAGGAGATTTATTGATATACAGTTGTTTTTCTTCATTTTGTCTGGATACCCTCCTCCAAATTACACTTTTGGGGTATCCCGGGTATCCCCCAATTTGGCCCATACCCGTTGTGTAAGGCACAAATCCCATGGTTAACCATCACTGTTTGCGTCAAAATTGAAACTTTAGGATGCGGACTGTTGGAACACCAATGACTTCAAAACGACGACTTCAAATGGTAATTTTCACGAGGACAATTATCATCAAAACCATTTATTCAACGTTTTCTCTCTAAACTTAACGGAAGACCATGAGATAAGTTGGTGTCTTATCTGTAATTGGGATGATGATCCTTAATCATCTTCCTACTTTTGAGCGGGTGGCTCAACCCCAACCATCATATTATATGGCTATGGATCAATACCTATAAGTACCATTTTTAGTGGGATGAACATCCATTTACCAGCTATTTTGATGTTCACCAGGGGTACAAGGTTTTGACACACTGCCATATGTTTTTTGAAATTTCTTCACTGATTCACCGTTTTTTTGTCACCCTAGAACCCATGGATCCAGGCATGCAAGCCTTGCAGAAGGCTTTACAGGTGGCCGGTCGGAAGCTGGGCGAGTCAACATCTCAGTTACTGGTAGCTACTGTGGGTTTATCTTAGGGAAAATCAGCTACAGACAGGTTACAGACAGCAAGGATATCTAGACATATCATTCCAAATGCATTCAAATACACAAATTACATCATATCCTATCATATCTAATTACTATCTAGTTGTGATTTGGCCTGAAATGCCAGAGATAGCTCGAGATCATCTACAAATAAGGGGTGTACTGTAAGGGTCTATTTTGCATGGATAGATTTAGAAGATATCACCCCCCTCTAAATTTGAATTTCCAACGGATCCTGGAAATGAATAGATCCGTCTGGGGGTATTTTAAAGTGGGAGGAGATTACCAGTAAGATGGGTTTGTGAATCCAGTTGTGTTATGGCTGTTTAACTATTGTTTGCCACAAAATTGTATGTATTCACTAACAGACTTGGGCATGTTGCAAACAGAAATGAGGAGATCACCGAAATTCGACAATCAATTTTGCTTCTATGGGTCCATTGATGCTCCAATTTTGAGCCACGACCAGAGAAGATAGACGGTTTGAAGAACAGGTCACCAGTTGTTCATGACATCTTCCTTCAGCTGGTCGAATGGCAAACTTTCTAGAAAACCTCCAAGAACGGCATGTGTATCAAACTTGTCAGCACCTGCATTTGCTGTCGAATCTATATAGCTTAAAACAATTCAGCTGTTTATGGGCTTATTGCTTGTTGCACCCGAGAGGAACTCCAGAACAGGTTCTGATTCTAGTCATGTTGTGGATCTAGGCTAAATATATCATGCCGGCAGGATTGATGCTTGGTTACATGGATAGCCCTGGCCCACAAATTAGGCCGTGCCTAGAAGCCTTGGTGCTAAGGTCCAGCAATCTGACCCAAAAAATCAAAGAAGTGCAGATTGAGCTGGAGAAGCGTCTCGAGCAGAAGGCCATCTCACTTCAGTTGGGATAGCACTTGGCAAATCTGCTACTTCTTCCAGCTTCTAGGGGCACCCTGGATCCTGAAAAGGGCCCAACTATGACCAAATTGATATGGACTGATTTTGTCTAATCAGTATCTATGGATAGTTATTTGCTCAATAACAACTACAACTACAATATACTTATTATCCATATCAAATGGATAATTGATGATATTTGATACTGCCAGATAACTGGGGGTATCTTCTCCCCCTTCTCCCCTCATGGGGATGCCCGCTTCGCAGGCGGCCTCAGAGCGCTTCCGCACCACTGCTGGGAGCTTCGAGGTGTCACAGATCTTCATGCATTTTCAGGAGTGATCATTGTGGGAACTTTGGGAAACTTTAGTGATGGAATGGGATGGGAGCTAAGTTGGGGTCCAAGTCAGGGATTCGATGGGAGGGTCGGGAACTTCAGGGATGGATTGATTGCATTTTGCAGAGAAAGTCACCCTTTGCAGTTTTCTGGGAGCAAACAAAAGCAGAGATTTATCCGGAACAGACCCAACAAATGGGGATTTGTCCAACAGACGAAGGAATTGCACCAGCCAAAGGGCTGGGATTTATCCGACAGATCGAAGTGACCAAATATCGAGAAACCAGCCCTGGCTATCCTGGCTATCGATTTATAGGAGATGTGCGGCAATGATTGCAAAATGATTGGTGATCTAAAGCATGAAACATGGCATATTAATCAATAATAATAGTTGATTCACCTACCCTTCAGGTAGGTGAAAATGGGTTGCATTTTTGCAATAAATTGACACATATATTTTCCAGCTGCAATGAACATGGGTAAGGTGTCGCTTCTCCTGGTGACCATCTGTTGGTGTTCCAAATGTCCATGTTTCATTTTAAGGGAAAACTTTTCTGCTTCGGTATCACCCAAGTTGTGTATGTAATGTATGTGATGGTATACAATTGTACGTACACACATACGATTATATATATATATAACATATATATATATAACATATATATATAATATATAACATATATATATATACACTGTATATATAACATATATATATATAACATACATACATATTATACATGATACGGGTACACATATTTTTCTTATTGTACACGCATCCATCCAACTTCGGGACATGCTAAAAGTGGCAGGACAGCCAAGCACATCCCTGGCGGAAAGTGACTCTGGACGAAGCTGATGCTGATCGTGTCCAGGAACCCAGAGAGTTGACCTCGGTTGCAGAGATGTGTTTCGACTGAAATGGACCATGGATATGGATGTACCCTATCCATCTATCAATCTATCAATCTATCTGCCCAATCTATTGATCTATTTATGGATCTATCAATCTAGGTATCTTTATGTACATTATCTATTCATATCTATTCTATACGAGTAAAATAGATAGTAGGTTATCCATATATGTATATATACCCCCAGGCCGGGGGTGCGGCCCAGAGGTCTATCACGTCACCAACTCTTTAGGGTTTGTTTAGGGTTTGTTTGGGGTTTGTTTAGGGTTTTTTTAGGGTTTATCTAGGGTTTCATTTAGGGTTTTTAGGTTTTGACCAGGGTTTTAATGAGATTTTACTTTCAAGGCTTACTTAGGGTTTCATGTCAGATTTAGGTTTTGGGGTTCAGGGTTTTGTGTTTTGGAAACAAATCTCGTAAGCTATTCGGCCATTCCGCCGAAATCCCAAAATGCAAAAAACACTGGCTCTGCGAAGTCAAAACCTTCCCCGGGCAGCACCCCTGTCCTGGACGTATACATATATACATATATATATATATAAAGGGCTACGCCCTCTGCCGCCGACCCCTGGACACTGGAGGGTCATGCCTGCCTCTGTGTCGTAAGCATGAAATGAACCCTAAAGAAACCAGAAACTGACCTAAACAAACCATTTGTATGTGCGTTTGGCACTGTGCACATGCAAGCAGCATGGACCCCTGCAGGATGACACGCACAACTATGTGCTCTGACACTTTTTCATGGCTCAAGAAATAGGAGCTTTCGTCATTGGGCAGGTGTCTTGGGGACCTAAAGGGTTGCTCTAGCACTTAAGACCCATACCCGAAGCCCCCGTTCGTAACCGCAGTATGAAACTTTAAATGGCATCCTAAAGAGACCCGAGACGACACTGCACTGCCAACTGCCACCCTGCTCGTGTCCTCCTGGAGCCGGCTTTCGTTCTGCACAGCTTCGGTCCAAGCTGGAGTCCAAGGACCGTGTCGCAGGGCTAAAACACCATGGCAGTGAAGGACGGATTGGGCCCGCGGCCCGTATCCCAGACTGCCAAACGTCACTTTCTGAACCGACTAGAAACTAGCTCCAAACCTTGACTTTTCCTATGTTTCTGCACTGCCAACTGCCACCCTGCTCGTGTCCTCCTGGAGCCGGCTTTCGTTCTGCACCGCTTCGGTCCAAGCTGGAGTCCAAGGACCGTGTCGCAGGGCTAAAACACCATGGCAGTGAAGGACCCCAGACTGCCAAACGTCACTTTCTGAACCGACTAGAAACTAGCTCCAAACCTTGACTTTTCCTGCGTTTCTGCATTGCCAACTGCCACCCTGCTCGTGTCCTCTGGAGCCGGCTTTCGTTCTGCACCGCTTCGGTCCAAGCTGGAGTCCAAGGACCGTGGCAGTGAAGGACGGATCTGAACCGACTAGGAACTAGCTCCAAACCTTGACTTTTCCTGCGTTTCTGCACTGCCAACTGCCACCCTGCTCGTGTCCTCCTGGGGCCGGCTTTCGTTCTGCACCGCTTCGGCCCAAGCTGGAGTCCAAGGACCGTGTCGCAGGGCTAAAACACCATGGCAGTGAAGGACGGATTGGGCCCGCGGCCGTAATCCCAGACTGCCAAACGCACTTTCTGACCACCGTACTAGAAACTAGCTCCAAACCTTGACTTTTCCTTTCGTTTCTGCACTGCCAACTGCCACCCTGCTCGTGTCCTCCTGGAGCCGGCTTCGTTCTGCGGCTCCAAACCTTGACTTGACCATGCGTGTTCCCACTGCCTGCCAACTGCCACCCTGCGGCGGGGCCTCGTCCTCCTGGAGCCTCTTTCCGTTCTGCCACCCCTTCGGTCTAAGCTTGGAGTTCCAAGGCCGTGTTTGCAGGGCTAAAACAAACATGGCAGTGAAGGACGGATTGGGCCCGCGGCCCGTATCCCAGACTGCCAAACGTCACTTTCTGAACCGACTAGAAACTAGCTCCAAACCTTGACTTTTCCTGCGGTTCTGCACTGCCAACTGCCACCCTGCTCGTGTCCTCCTGGAGCCGGCTTTCGTTCTGCACCGCTTCGGTCCAAGCTGGAGTCCAAGGACGTGTCGCAGGGCTAAAACACCATGGCAGTGAAGGACGGATTGGGCCCGCGGCCCGTATCCCAGACTGCCAAACGTCACTTTCTGAACCGACTAGAAACTAGCTCCAAACCTTGACTTTTCCTGCGTTTCTGCACTACCAACTGCCACCCTGCTCGTGTCCTCCTGGAGCCGGCTTTCGTTCTGCACCGCTTCGGTCTAAGCTGGAGTCCAAGGACCGTGTCGCAGGGCTAAAACCCCATGGCAGTGAAGGACGGATTAGGCCCGCGGCCCGTATCCCAGACTGCCAAACGTCACTTTCTGAACCGACTAGAAACTAGCTCCAAACCTTGACTTTTCCTGCGTTTCTGCACTGCCAACTGCCACCCTGCTCGTGTCCTCCTGGAGCAGGCTTTCGTTCTGCGCCCGTATCCCAGACTGCCAAACGTCACTTTCTGAACCGACTAGAAACTAGCTCCAAACCTTGACTTTTCCTGCGTTTCTGCACTGCCAACTGCCACCCTGCTCGTGTCCTCCTGGAGCAGGCTTTCGTTCTGCACCGCTTCGGTCCAAGCTGGAGTCCAAGGACCGTGTCGCAGGGCTAAAACACCATGGCAGTGAAGGACGGATTGGGCCCGCGGCCCGTATCCCAGACTGCCAAACGTCACTTTCTGAACCGACTAGAACTAGCTCCAAACCTTGACTTTTCCTGCGTTTCTGCACTGCCAACTGCCACCCTGCTCGTGTCCTCCTGGAGCCCCGACTGCCAAACGTCACTTTCTGAACCGACTAGAAACTAGCTCCAAACCTTAAACTTTCCGGCTTTCTCTGCACTGCCAACTGCCACCCTGCTCGTGTCCTCCTGGAGCCGGCTTTCGTTCTGCACCGCTTCGGTCCAAGCTGGAGTCCAAGGACCGTGTCGCAGGGCTAAAACACCATGGCAGTGAAGGACGGATTGGGCCCGCGGCCCGTATCCCAGACTGCCAAACGTCACTTTCTGAACCGACTAGAAACTAGCTCCAAACCTTGACTTTTCCTGCATTTCTGCACTGCCAACTGCCACCCTGCTCGTGTCCTCCTGGAGCCGGCTTTCGTTCTGCACCGCTTCGGTCCAAGCTGGAGTCCATGGACCGTGTCGCAGGGCTAAAACACCATGGCAGTGAAGGACGGATTGGGCCCGGCCCGTATCCTAGACTGCCAAACGTCACTTTCTGAACCGACTAGAAACTAGCTCCAAACCTTGACTTTTCCTGCGTTTCTGCACTGCCAACTGCCACCCTGCTCGTGTCCTCCTGGAGCCGGCTTTCGTTCTGCGGCTCCAAACCTTGACTTTACCTGCGTTTCTGCACTGCCAACTGCCACCCTGCTCGTGTCCTCCTGGAGCCGGCTTTCGTTCTGCACCGCTTCGGTCTAAGCTGGAGTCCAAGGACCGTGTCGCAGGGCTAAAACACCATGGCAGTGAAGGACGGATTAGGCCCGCGGCCCGTATCCCAGACTGCCAAACGTCACTTTCTGAACCGACTAGAAACTAGCTCCAAACCTTGACTTTTCCTGCGTTTCTGCACTGCCAACTGCCACCCTGCTCGTGTCCTCCTGGAGCCGGCTTTCGTTCTGCACCGCTTCGGTCCAAGCTGGAGTCCAAGGACCGTGTCGCAGGGCTAAAACACCATGGCAGTGAAGGACGGATTGGGCCCGCGGCCCGTATCCCAGACTGCCAAACGTCACTTTCTGAACCGACTAGAAACTAGCTCCAAACCTTGACTTTTCCTGCGTTTCTGCACTGCCAACTGCCACCCTGCTCGTGTCCTCCTGGAGCCGGCTTTCGTTCTGCACCGCTTCGGTCCAAGCTGGAGTCCAAGGACCGTGTCGCAGGGCTAAAACACCATGGCAGTGAAGGACGGATTGGGCCCGCGGCCCGTATCCCAGACTGCCAAACGTCACTTTCTGAACCGACTAGAAACTAGCTCCAAACCTTGACTTTTCCTGCGTTTCTGCACTGCCAACTGCCACCCTGCTCGTGTCCTCCTGGAGCCGGCTTTCGTTCTGCACCGCTTCGGTCCAAGCTGGAGTCCAAGGACCGTGTCGCAGGGCTAAAACACCATGGCAGTGAAGGGCGGATTGGGCCCGCGGCCCGTATCCTAGACTGCCAAACGTCACTTTCCGAACCGACTAGAAACTAGCTCCAAACCTTGACTTTTCCTGCGTTTCTGCACTGCCAACTGCCACCCTGCTCGTGTCCTCCTGGAGCCGGCTTTCGTTCTGCGGCTCCAAACCTTGACTTTACCTGCGTTTCTGCACTGCCAACTGCCACCCTGCTCGTGTCCTCCTGGAGCCGGCTTTCGTTCTGCACCACTTCGGTCTAAGCTGGAGTCCAAGGACCGTGTCGCAGGGCTAAAACACCATGGCAGTGAAGGACGGATTGGGCCCGCGGCCCGTATCCCAGACTGGCAAACGTCACTTTCTGAACCGACTAGAAACTAGCTCCAAACCTTGACTTTTCCTGCGTTTCTGCACTGCCAACTGCCACCCTGCTCGTGTCCTCCTGGAGCCGGCTTTCGTTCTGCACCGCTTCGGTCCAAGCTGGAGTCCAAGGACCGTGTCGCAGGGCTAAAACACCATGGCAGTGAAGGACGGATTGGGCCTGCGGCCCGTATCCCAGACTGCCAAACGTCACTTTCTGAACCGACTAGAAACTAGCTCCAAACCTTGACTTTTCCTGCGTTTCTGCACTGCCAACTGCCACCCTGCTCGTGTCCTCCTGGAGCCGGCTTTCGTTCTGCACCGCTTCGGTCCAAGCTGCAGTCCACGGACCGTGTCGCAGGGCTAAAACACCATGGCAGTGACGGACGGATTGGGCCCGCGGCCCGTATCCCAGACTGCCAAACGTCACTTTCTGAACCGACTAGAAACCAGCTCCAAACCTTGACTTTTCCTGCGTTTCTGCACTGCCAACTGCCACCTTGCTCGTGTCCTCCTGGAGCTGGCTTTCGTCCTGCGGCCCGTAGCCCAGAGTGCCAAACGTTACTTTCTGAACCGATTAGAAACTAGCTCCAAACCTTGACTTTTCCTGCGTTTCTGCACTGCCAACTGCCACCCTGCTCGTGTCCTCCTGGAGCCGGCTTTCGTTCTGCACCGCTTCGGTCCAAGCTGGAGTCCAAGGACCGTGTCGCAGGGCTAAAACACCATGGCAGTGAAGGACGGATTGGGCCCGCGGCCCGTATCCCAGACTGCCAAACGTCACTTTCTGAACCGACTAGAAACTAGCTCCAAACCTTGACTTTTCCTGCGTTTCTGCACTGCCAACTGCCACCCTGCTCGTGTCCTCCTGGAGCCGGCTTTCGTTCTGCACCGCTTCGGTCCAAGCTGGAGTCCAAGGACCGTGTCGCAGGGCTAAAACACCATGGCAGTGAAGGACGGATTGGGCCTGCGGCCCGTATCCCAGACTGCCAAACGTCACTTTCTGAACCGACTAGAAACTAGCTCCAAACCTTGACTTTTCCTGCGTTTCTGCACTGCCAACTGCCACCCTGCTCGTGTCCTCCTGGAGCCGGCTTTCGTTCTGCACCGCTTCGGTCCAAGCTGGAGTCCAAGGACCGTGTCGCAGGGCTAAAACACCATGGCAGTGAAGGACGGATTGGGCCCGCGGCCCGTATCCCAGACTGCCAAACGTCACTTTCTGAACCGACTAGAAACTAGCTCCAAACCTTGACTTTTCCTGCGTTTCTACACTGCCAACTGCCACCCTGCTCGTGTCCTCCTGGAGCCGGCTTTCGTTCTGCACAAACTCTTCGCCCCTTCTGGCATCTTGTTGCTAGTAAGGCCTCCTCTGACGCGCTCCCCCTGCTGACGGCAGGGGTCGGCGGATATATTTACCTATGCTGTGACCAAGTTTCATTCTTTACTCGCAGTTCTGTGCAGGAATGGCTGCCTTGAGAACTGGAGCTGAGCTGGTGTATGTTTTTACAGCTGAAGAAGCAGCTCTTCCCATCAAATCCTACAGCCCAGAGCTCATGGTGACGCCTGTCTACAGCCTGAATCTTAAGCCTGCAAGTGAGATGCTGCAGTCATTCCCACTAAAGTTGTGGTGTCGCGTGGTGCTATGGACCAAGGTGCTAAGAGCATAGACAGCGTCGACAAATCGCATGCTTTGGTCCCTCGGTGCATCAGCGGTTTGCGATTTGTGTGTTTCCAGTGCTTGCAGCCTGAGCTGGTTGCCAACTGTCAAGGACTGCCCAATGGATGTGTTCGATTTCACACTTCCAAATTGAACATGCTTGAAACATATTGAACAATGGCGTGCAGTTTTCTGCATCTCTCTCTCTCTCTGTCATACCCACCCTCTCACACATATGTATACTTAATAATATCAATTAATGTCACACACACACACACCCGCACACACACACAAGCCCCTTTGCCGCCACGAGTGCGGCGCTCGAGTGTTCTCACGAGAACCTTAGGTTGTCATCCCGCGTTGTCTCGATTCTCTCTTTTTCGGATTTGTGCCATTGATCGGCGGCCTGAATCGCTGCGTTGCTGTTTTTCACTTGAGATTTCATTTTCTGATATATCCATCCTGGCTCCAGCATTGAATTGTGAATTTCTTGATCATTTTGATTTCTTGATTTGCTGGTGACGTTGCAGTCACCGTGTTGACAGAGGGCACCACGACGATAACTGCACGACAACTGGGGCACCTTCTTTGAAAGGTGATTTGCACCTTTCAGGGACAGCCATTCTGGGATCATCGATCTGGCAGGAACGCTTCTCTGACCTCTGAAATCAACGATTTTTTTTGTGCGCAATTGGACCAATTTGACAAGCTACTTTTTCCTGCTGCTCACTTCCAATATCCAGTTGCACCGCTATTCTGGATACATCGACCTGGGGGACAGCAGCAACATTTGCAATCATCGGCACACTGCGGGATTGGCTCCGACTATCAACTGCCTGGCCAGCCGGTGATTTGCAGGGAGTTTTTTGACGGGACACCTATTTTCAGGAACAGTTTGAGTTTTCCTTGTGTTTTTGAGGGCCGCGATCCACTGACACACTGCGGGATTGGCTCCGATTTTCTGTCTGGCCTGTCAGTGGATTGCTTTGGCTTTGGATACAACAGACAAACGACCTGGTGGACCCTGACACAACAGTTTTTGCTTTGGAATCCTGAGCCCACCACAGATTACGATTGGGGTACACGGTCAAACTGCAGGGTTGGCTCCTGTTTTACACTGACTGGCCTGACTGTGTACTCCCCTGAAGCTCTGGCGCTTGACACTGGGCTCCGTTTTACAAGGTGGACTTTTCCTTTGTATTGGACTCCATTGATCTGGCAGCTGGTGCGCAACTCCTGGTACATACAACATCCTCTGACACACTGCGGGGTTGGCTCCGATCAGCTGGCTGGCCTGTCAGAGGATTGCAATTCTTTATTCTTTCAACTGGTCATTTTCATTGGACAAATTCAGCTACTGAGGCTTAGCAACATTGGAGGCGCAACTGAATACATTTTGGGTTCACAGTCGCACTGCAGGGTTGGCTCCTGTCCCTTACTGACTGGCCTGACTGTGAACCTGGCTGGAAACATAGGGGTGGGCTCCCTTGCTGATAGTCCCATACTGTCAGGTTGGTATTCACTGGCCTCTGCACAACACAACGCTGCTTCAATCAGAGCAGACAGACTGGAGGCCAACATACAGACAATCACTGACAGCAATTCTTGGGATACGCGTTCCTTGACATTCTGCAGGGTTGGCTCCTGTTCACTGTCTGGCCTGTCAAGGACGCGCGCACAGCACGGGCACAATACACTGCACTCACAAGTTTTGGATTTGGCAGCAGACACACTCATCTATTTTTGGTGGTGGCCTCCTTTGATTTGGCTAGTTTTGATTCAGTGGTTTTTTACAAGTAGCGCATTGGCACCGTTGTTTCAATTCATTTATTTTTGCTGGGGACTGTCCATTGCATACATTGCTTTGGTGGATACTGGAACCGCGGCGACTTTGATTTGTTTGATTGAAGGGTTGATACTTCTGCTGGCTAAAGACGCCCTTGAGTACAACCTGCGCGGTCACTGCATTTGGCACATTTTTGATTTTCCTTTTCGCGGGATTGACAACCTGATCAGATCGAGACAACTGCCTCGACGCGGCAAGCCTGGTCCCAAATCCAGGCCTGGTGCTACCCATTGGAAAAAGACGTTTAGCTTCCTGCTTTGTGTCTTCCTACTTTTCATGGAATACCCGATGCAGCACCAGTGGGGTGAGGGTAGTGATTCAGCCATGGGAATCACTGAAGTTCCACATGCGTGCACACAAACACCACTGATGGGAACAAAGCGACATGGCATGCAGCCAACATTGTGCATTAGCACATCAGCGGGGCGAGAAACCACAAATTTGGGAAACAACAAAGTAATCAAACGAAGCATCAGACGAGCCTATCGGCGCTCTTTGCACTCTGGCTTTGCATGGTACAGAGGTAAACATTACAGTGCTGATGAATTTGCCAAGATGGGCTGCGCCTTGCCTGAGGCACCAGTGACCAGGGGGAAGCTCACCATGTCCCAACGACAGGATTGGCAGAGGTGCAACAGTCTTCATTCAGCCAAAAAGAGACTCACTATGTGGCAGTGGAATTGTGGAGGCATTAGTGCATCCAGATTGGATGAGGTCAAAGCATGGCTTGTCATGAGCAGAATAGACATTGCGGTGCTGCTGGAGACGAGACTCACCTTTGATTCTAATCATTCTGACACTCACTGGCATATTTTGCACTCGGGAGAAGGAGCTCACAGAGGAAAGGGTATCATGTTTTTGGTGGCCAAGTCTCTCTGCAAAGCTACTGACATCGCATGGCAATTTCACGACAGTGGCAGGTTGGTGCACTTGCGTTTGAATGTGGGCCCACGTCCAATGGATGTTGTTGCTTGCTACCAGCATGCATATCAATCATCTCCGGCGTGCCTGAAAGCGCGTGAACAATGGTGGAACCTTTTGGAATCTGTTCTCACAAACATTCCTAATCGACATGGCTTAGCAGTGTTGGGCGACTTTAACTGCTCTGTCTCTGCCTCACGAGGACTGGTAGGCACCTCCAACTTTCAGTGGCAGGGGAAGCCATGCACAGGTACTGTCCATTCTGACCAATCCAGATTTTTACAACTACTCAGACAGTTTGCCTTGGTAGTTTTAAACTCATGGTCAGCCCAAGATGGGCCAACGTACGTGCATGGGGATGCGGCAAGCAGGATTGACCACTTTTGTGTCCGACAATGTTTTGCTGATGGCGAGGCTAGGCGCGTGACACTTTTATGGGAATCTCCGTTTCTGCAACAGACGAAAGTAGGCCATGCTCCTATGCTTTGCTCAATTGCCCAACATTGGATCCCGCAATTTGCTCGATCCAGAATTCAGCGGGTCACCATGCAGCAACGCCAAGAGAGCCGCCTTGCCTATATTGAGCAAACTCCCTGTTGGCAAGCATTTACTGTATGCACACAGCACCAACTGATGCAGATCTTTGCCACGGACACTGCTGGAGCTGATGAGGTCATTGACACCATGCATCACCAGATCATGCACACGTTCATAGAGCACTTTCCTTCTGGTCAGACAAATCGCACAGCACCACCCTGGACCACGGCGCTGCCGATCATTCTGAACAAATGGGAACATCGCAGACGCATGCTCAGGCCTGGATTGGGCACAGTCCGCAATGTTTTCAAAACATGGTTTCATCAAACAAAGTATTGTAGGCTGCGACGTGCACACAACAAACAGGCCAAACAGATCAGACAATCACAGTTTAGAGAAGTGGTCAAGACAGCTGCTGAGGCTGCGGCACGCCATGCCACTCACAAACTCTTTAGCCTGATTAATCGTTTTGCACCAAAACAGCCTAGGAAACAGATTCAGTTGAGAAACCATGCTGGACACATGGCTAGCCCTATTGAAAGTGCGGCCATCATGAATCGATACATTGCACAGACATGGGCTGGACCTACCACTTTGGACTTGCAGTTTGATCAGGCCCCGGGAGTGCCTTTTGATGTGAGACAGTTGGCTCAGGCGTTGAGAATGATTCCATGCACCAAAGCCACAGCAAAACCGTTTGCTCCTGGCGTAGTCTGGCACCAACATGCTGATTTCTTGGCTCCACTTTTGCATGAGAAATTATGTATTTGGTGGGCATGTAATCCTCCCCACATACCCTGTTCATGGAAAAATGGCTGGATATTCATGATTCCGAAACCGTCCAAGCCTCCTGTTTCTCCATGTAACTTGAGGCCGCTGGCCCTCCAAGAACCGGTAGGTAAGGCCATCATAGGACTTCTCATTCATTTAGCCATGAAAGAGGCCAGTCCATGCATGGTTCATTTGCCACTTTGGGCTTATCTTGAGCACAGATCGACACTTGATGCCATCAGAAGGGTCAGTCTACATTGTGCACAGGTGCGGCAATTAATTAGATCACAGAAATCGACGCCTCACTCCAGGGTTCACCGAAACAATTGTTCCAATTTTTACGGGGGCATTCAGGTCTGCCTGGACCTGCAACGGGCGTTTGATGCAGTTGATCGCCGTAAATTATTTGCCAAACTTTACACCCTTCAGATCAGTCCTTCAATCATTCAGCTCCTGGCTTGCTGGCATGAAAACACTTTTTTCACTTTTTATCATGTTGATCATGGGGAAGTAACGGAATCCATCCAAGTGGGTAAGGGAGTGAGACAAGGCTGCAAAGCAGCCCCAGGCTTGTGGTCCTTCTTCTTAGTCATCTTCCTGCAAGAATTGATGGCATGGGTTCCCCTAACCTGGATTCAAAATTGCCTGACAATTTACGCAGACGATTTTCACATATGCATGACATATACCACGATGGCTGAGCTGCAACACTTCCAATCCACATTGGGCATCCTGCTTTCCACTTTGGCCTCCATGGATATGCAAGTGAATCCTGGGAAATCAGTGGCACTGCTGGAAATGCGAGGAACGCAAAGTCGAGCGGCCAGACGACACTTTGTGCGACGTTTTCATGATGGTGAAAAATTGATAGTACCGGTGCCTGGCCATGACGATGCCTACATACCCATCCAGACATCAACCAAATATTTGGGGGTGATCATTTCCTATCACAACTTCGAGGATGCAAGCTTGAAGCACAGATTGCAATTGATGCAGGTTGGTTTTCGACGTCTAAACAGGTGGCTCACTGGGAAACACAGCTTGTCCATTGCACAAAGGTTTCAGATTTGGCGCACTTGCATTTTTCCCATTTTCAGCTATGGAGTTTTTGCGACAGGAATGACACAGACAGGCATCACAAAGGCTATGACACAGATGACTATCATGTTGAGACGCATCATCCATGATCACGCTTATTTGACAAGACGCACAAACAGTGCAGCACTGGCATCACGCAATATCCCAACTCCGGCGCGACTGCTACATGGCATTGCAGCTGGACTATTGAGGTCACATGCAACACGGGCTGAATTGTTGCCACCACATGACCTGACGCTGACCATTACATGGGACCACTTGCCTGAACTTTTGCACAGATTGCATCAACTGCAGGCCACTGAATCCTTGGAGCAACAGCATCCTACCTTGGAGGCTGGATTCGACACTCCTTTTTTTCAGTGTGCACAATGTGAATTTTGTACGGCAAGTGTCAGCGCTTTCAGAGGCCACTGCACTACACATCATCAACACACGATGTATCGCACACAACATGTTCAACCTGAAGTTTTTTCAACGGGGGGGCTCCCAACATGCCAATATTGCCAAAAGACCTCCACAACTTGGAGACTCTTTCACATCCACATTGAACGTGGATGCCAGGCTTTGTTGACGGGCCCTTCACCTTTCACGGGGAACCGTGGAGACACAGGTTCAACCTTGAGCAGACTCACAGGCATGACCACTGAGTTGGCCCATGCAGCTGCTAGAGGCCTTAGACTGATCACTGAAGAGGAGTTGCACAACCTCAAACAGCAGACGTTTGGGCCTCGATTATTGCAGCTGGTACAAGATCGTGAATGGGATCGACTGCCCAGAGATCAAGAAGCGTGCAGATATCTTGCCACACAATGCATCATTTGCGCATTTCACTTCTCCAGACCCCAGGAGCTTCATCAGCACTACAGGCTGAGACATCCTGAACTGTGGGAGTATGCACCTCAGAAGGCCATTCAGTTGACCAACATCTTCAGCGATGAAGTCCCTTGTAGTTGTTGCGGAGCCTTGTTTTTGACTCACACATGCCCCACATGGTCACAAGTGGCAGTGCTGTTGGTCAATGGAGCTGGCAATGATGACATGGAAGTTGGCCCAGTTGTTGAAGCCAGACAAAGGTGTGAACTTTGTTTGGAGTGGTTTTCCACTGCAGCGGAACTGGTGCAACACTTACAAAATACACATGGACTGCAAGGGCTCAGCTACAATGAAAGCAGAGATTCATTGGACAACACCACGGCTTGCAGCCACTGTGGCATTCTGTTCATGTCAATGTCTGGACTTAAGTCACACATAGTGCAGGGCAGATGTGATTTCTTCAACCCTCAGGCGACAGCAGAAACGCAACCTGTGGACGATCAATGGCGTATGGCCTGCTTGGAAGGCAAGCTACACGAAGTACTGCAACAGCCGGCCAATCGACTCAGATTGACTGTGACCTGCCAGGCTTGTGGCAAGGGCTGTCGTCGGGCAGCTGACCTTGCATTGCATCTACAGTCTTGCCATGCCAGATTGTGGCGCCAGGCACGCAGACTGACCATGCTTTTGGTTGAAATCCTCTACCCCAAACAATGCTATTGCAACCCGGCCACTGGCACCAAACGCAATGGCCACATTTGCCTGCCATTCAGGCAACTTGCAATGAGCTTCCATCGACTGGGCAAAGAGCCTTTTGCACCTATGCTGATCACAGATCCATTGCTGAAGGCCATTCTGTCAGATCTGCTCACACGAGCTGACAAGTACAAGATTGAACAAGTCTTAGTACATCGTCAATTTGAAGCAATGTGGCAGGACCTGGAGATTTTGCAGAGCTTGCGGCGTCAATGCATTTTTTGTGGGACTCGATGCACTACGGCAGACTTGGCCCTCCATCTACGTGAGGAGCACTGCTGCAGCCATGAGATGTTTTTGTTTTACATGGAACAATTGCTACCCACCATTCATGCACTTGATCCAGCTGGCTACCAATGCACACTCTGCCAACAGATCTTCAACTTGCCTGTGCACTTGCAGCCGGATGAACCTTTGGCTGACAGGGTCCATTTAGCCCTCTCACATCTTAGGGGGAACTGCCCGTGCCTGATCCAGATTGCCCTGCTCTTTGGTTCCATCTTGAATGGAAGCCCCTTGTCCCATGGAGCAACAAGACCTCACAGTGTCGGCACAGGTGATGGAGGCATTCAGCAGTTTGGCACCGTTATTCCAGGACAAGACGCTTCAGCTGACTCCCAATCCCAGAAAGGTCAAGGTCCGACGACGGGACGCCAACGCACCCCAAGAAGAGGACAAGCCAATGCCAGACAGCGCACTGACTCAACAACAGCGCCTGCTGTCAACACTGGTTCAGCTTGTGGTCAGACAAGATCAAGAGCTTCAATGTCTTCGCAAAATGGATCAATTCATACTTTTTTTGGGCCAAGAACCCACGGGTGCACTTCACATCCTGTTACAGGAGACAGTCCAATGGAAGAAGCAGATGGAGACATCCAAATCCATGACTCTGCCACTGAGACAGCACCTGATGATCACCCTGCTGAATCTCCTTCACACGAGAGCAGGGAAGGTGGTGGAATGTCAGGAGACGGACCCGCTGTACTCCATGTCCCTGCAGAAAGGAGTGATCTTGGCAGATCGGAGCTTCCCTTTTCATCGTTGGGACCCGCAGCAGCAGAAGGTGGTTCTGGACAAGAAACAGCCTGTGAGCGCACAGAAAATGAAGCAGCACCTGGAGGAACTCCAGGACATGGTGCAGGACAAGGAGCTCATTGTTCGATTTCATGCCCTACGACCCATGTCCAATCAGCCCAATCAGCCAGTGCCATGGAGGCTCCAGATTCATCTCCGGAGCGACAGGCCCTACGAGCTCTTGTGGCAACTGGCGCACAGCTCGGTGTGGATGACAGTGGGAGCCACGATGAAACCACACAGTCAGGGACAATCCCCGCTGGCGACCACGTTGCAGAACATGATGCAACCCAAAGGAAGGGGCAAGGGCAAGACACGAGCATCAGAGCTGAAACAGGAGGCATGACTTCAGAAGTGCACATTGCACTGCACGAGCGGCTTGTCAAGAGCATGACTGGATTGCGCATGGCCAATGATAGAAATTGGTGCTATGGCAACAGCGTGGTCCACTGCATGCTATGGACTCTTTTGTGCCTGCAGAACCCAACACCAACGCAATGGGGACTGCAGTTTGAAGCCTTGATTGATTTCATCACACGCCATGCAACTCAACTGGCAGTTTTGAAAGATATTTCCTGGTTTCAACAAGTTCTGACAAATTGGGGTCAGTCACAGGGCCAAAGAGACAGTGCTGAATGTGCGCAACGTCTACTGGCCGTGTTAGGGGTGCCGGCATTTGATATGCGCTGGGAAAGAAGGCTTATTGCTGATGGAACAGTGCAAACTCTGGATCATAGCATGGACAGCACACCCATTCACTTGACCATTACCTCACAGATGCATTCATGTGGCCATTGCAACATTTCAGATTTGATTGCAACCTGGACCCAGGAGCACTCCATGCGCACAGCGCTCCTGGCAGCTCCTCCGTGCCTCTGTGTGAGTGTGGAGCGCTTTCTTCAGACTGAAGATGATGCACTTATCAGAAGCATGTGTTCCATTGATCTTGACACGGAAGCCAGTGTTCCTGTTTTCAAGGGCTCAGGCATTGAGATTGCACATGAGGGGTATATTCCGATTGCTGGAGTTGCGCACTTTGGACTGGATTGTGCTGGTCATTGCAGGGCCATTCTCAAGATGCAACCAGGGCTGGTCAACCAGACACAGCCGGCTACATGGCTCCTCTCCGAAGATGCCCAACGATTGGAGCCAGCATGGAAAATTCCAAGTGATTTTGCCACCAACTTGACGGTGATTTGGTTGGTGCGGACAGACTGTTTGCATCTCCCTGCATTTGCACAAGCTGCTGCGCGTAGCCACACAGACTTGGAGGATGACACATCACCTACATTGATGACTCCAACGCCTGATTCGGCACTGCTCAGCCTGCTCCAAGCTCAACCTGGCATCACTATGGATCATATGCACAATGAAGCCTCAGGATGACAGCTCAGGATACATCTCCTCATTTCTCCATTTGTTTTTTTCCCATTTTGGTTTCAGAGCCTTAAAGATTCCGTGTATGGAACCAACGTCACAAGCAACACGTTGAAAGGCTGGCACAGACCTTAGAGCAGATGCAAAAAGGCGTGTAGGAAAAAAAACACACACACACACCCACACCCACACCCACACCCACACCCACACGCACACGCACACGCACACGCACACGCACACGCACACGCACACGCATATATATATATATATGTATATATTATACAATATAGATAATATCATATCATGTATCATATCAATATTACTATCAACATTAGCATCAATATCTCAATATCAATATCAATCAATCAACCGACCCATATATATATATTATATTATATTTATCTTATCTCTCTCTTTCTCTACATGCACACCCAAAATACACATTTCTGTACCAATTTTCTTTCCACTTTCCCGTTTTAGGCCCAGAAGGTGAAGTCCATGCTGCATCGACTGCACGCCTTGGTGCTGGGCTGTGGCCTCGGCAAAGACGACCAGGTGCTGCAGGCTGCCTTGGACATCTGCCAGGCCGCCGCTGGACAAGGTGCTCCTTATGGGTGCCCATATGGGATCCCATTGGATCCGGGGGAAATGGGCCCCAAATGGTGGTTAATGGTGGTTCATGGTGGTTAATGGTTAAGTGAAAAGTGGTTCATGCTGGTTAATGATGGTTAATGTGTGGTTAATGGGATATTGAATGGGTATCCTCTGGTAATCCAAGGTGGCAATGGAAAATCCACCATTTACAGATGATTTTCGCATTAAACGCTTTGCATAGGGAATTTTCCAGTGCCACGTTTGATTACCAGAGAGTAAGCATTTTGATTGGGAGATGATGATCAACGATTTTTTGGCCCTAATTGCATTTTTTCTAACCAACATGATATATCATATAAATCATTGTAAAATTTGATGAGGCTATTCTTGTAAGCAATGGATACAAAAGGAAGGAAGGAAGGCAGGAAGGAAGGCAGGAAGGAAGGAAGAAAGGAAGGAAGGAAGTAAAAGAAGTAAAAGAAGTAAAAGAAGTAAAAGAAGTAAAAGAAGTAATTTGGCATGGACATATATAGATCGATAAATCATGATTTTGTCAACAGAGGCGTAGATGCATATAAAACCGACGGAATGTGTTTCAGGCTTGCCTGTGGTTCTGGATGCAGACGGCTTAGAGATGGCCATTCGCTGGCCGGAAGCGCTGCAGGGAATGGACCGGACCCTACTGACGCCGAATGCCAATGAGTTTCGGCGCCTCTGTGAGGCAACAGGCATTCAAGGCCCTTGGGACTTGGGATGATGGGGTGGTTGGATCCTTGGTACCAGTACGCCAGTACGCAATACCGCGATACCTCTCTGGTAGTTGGGCTCTTGAGTCTTTCTGCAAATTTAATTGAAACAGTCTCCGCAACACGTGGTCGTTCACAGCCCGGATTAAAACACTGCCCTGGTCGATTCATCGGGGGGGTTATGCCCAAATAGTGATAATCTGCTTCTAAAATGGCATCGAATTAAACAGCTCAGGGGTTGCAATCCGGCAGGTGAAGGTCATAGCCAGCTGGTGAAGCTTTGCTCCTCGGCCAAGTGTGGATCAGATCCTACGACGCATGACGCTAGGTTCTGTCAAGGTGATGGAACCACCAGACCTCTATCGTGACTGTTAGTGACTGGTTGCGGTGATTTGTTTATCATTGCTGAGCAGTTTTGGACATTCATGCATGCTTGAAGCCTTGAATGCATCTTGTCCCTTGATCATCCTCGTTGATTGGTTAGTAGGGAAACCCTGAGAGAACCCGTTGAAAAACAGTTCTTCCTTCACCGTTATCTGTAGTCACTGGGTGCCCCAATCCTTATTGCTGGCGTGTCGGGTGATTCAAGGTGAAAAGCTTGATGGTCCGGCAGTGCTGTTGAAAGGACCCGAGGAGCGTTGAGGAAGTCTCCATAAATGATCGCCATGCCACTTCGAGGCAAATGGTTCAATTTGAATCATCCGTATGCTGGTGCAGGGGCAGAAAGACAGTTTCGTTTTGATTCCTCTGGATTCTTAGCCATGAGCCCGCAGGATTTAGTCGCAGATGCTTCTGGCAGGGTGGAGTGTTGCTCCGTGCAAGGCACTCCTCGGCGGAGCGGAGGCGGGGGTGGATATCAGCCATCGAATGCCAGGATTGGACAGGTTCCAAATTCAATCCTGGGCAGACAACATGCTGTGATATGCTTTGCTTGTTCTCTCGAAATGCTTGAAGTTGCAAGGCTATGGGGATGTGCTAGCCGGAACACTCGGGACACTACTGGCATGGTCAAGGAACAAGGTCGTGGAAGGCGGGCCTCTTTGGTGAAAGCGAGCCGGCTCGTAATCTTCCGTTCCCACTGCAAGACATGCGGGCTTGGATTCTAGGGTTTAGCTAGAAGTTAAAGGCAAGTCCATGATTTGAATTGGAGACATCCATCCAGATCCATCTAAATCCCATGCTCCTTTCTGAAGCGCCCGTTGGCAGTTTGCAGGTGACTTGCCTATGGTAGCTGCTGGTTGTGCTGCCTGCGAACTGGTTCGCTGCAGTTGCCGTGCGGCCTTTGCTAGAAAAGCTAGGGCGATGACGGCGCCAGACGTTTTAGCCCCTTGGTTGGTCTCGAATGACAGACCGAAGTAGTCTTGGGATTTCTGATATCAGAATCAGAAACCTCTCAATCGCAGCCGAGGACGAGATTGGGCCTGTGTTTGAAGAGCTTTGCCCGTGTGGCCTTTGACATTTTCTCAGCCCGCAATGTGCCAGAGGAGACTAAAAGAGTGCCAGACCTTGTGAAGGCCCTGTTAGTCCCAAAGTGCTCACAAACTGTTAAAGAGACCTCATTATATAGCCAATACTAGTCACAGGCTGTCGGAGATTGAACTAGCATGTGGGGCACGTCCTTGACACCGGTACTAAGTAGTACATGGTAGTACTATCCACAAAGATAACTGTTCAACCAGGACCTTTTGGGAACGATCTGTCACTCAACTACTTGTTACTTGTTGTGAGCGCTTGATGGAACCTTGATCTCATAAGAGCTGTTGGCCTTGAAGGAATTTTTGAGAAGCATTGAACAGCGGTCGGATACGATGCAAGCATGCGCATATCATGCTTGCAACAAGAGCAGGTCCAAGAATTTGATTTGCGGCACTGAGTTGATAGCTATGACAAGTCAAAAGACAGGGACAAACATTCCATGACCATGGTATCCATGTGTGATAGATATCTGACTGCGAGAAATCTGATTGTCAGGCAGTGCAGGTTCGCGGCATTATAAATTTGGATCCAGTCTGCAAGAGGGTCGAATCATCATGGCCACTTAGCTTCGCGATGGAGCCGACCACCTGTGGCATTTGCGAGACGCCCCTCAATCCTCAGAGATGGGCACAGGCCAAGAGTGATCAGTGATCGATGTCAAGCTCCAGTGGCTCCGGTGGATGCAGTGTGTTTGAACCCTGCGACGCTGCGAGGCCACTGTTCCTCAATGTCGTCATGGTTACCACTTGATACTTTGCTGACATGGCATGACATAGCCGGCCCTGCCAGAACTTGGTAGTCTGGTAGTCCCGAGCACCTTAAGAAACAATTGAATTTGACAGTTGTTGGTACAGCTTCAACCCCCACCACGTCCGCCCATAGCCTCTATCCTTGGAGACGGCCACCAGATCATGGCCGATGAAACACCCAGGAATTGCATGCTTGACAAGGCGCAGACTGTTGCGTCAGACTTCAAGTGTAAAACATGTGAAGAGCACTTTGGCCGCATTGGGTTTGGAGATCGGTGTTGAGTCCTGACTCAGCAACTTCTTGACCGCAGTATTTTTGTATTTTGATTTCTTCATCAGCACGGCGGATAAGGTTTAGATCCTCCCGCAGCGATGGGTTACAACTACTGCTGGATGAGTGCAGTGAAGAACTGCACAAGCGAAATCCGACCGATATTGAGCTGCTGGCCTCGAAGTCTTGCTGATGACATGATTTGGTTTCCAGATGTTTCCTGTTTCGTCGTCCAATGCAACGCGCCGCATTTTCATCTCAAACAACCCACAACATACAGGTGCACACATATTTTTGAATTCATGCTTGAAGTCGGTTTCGGCTTATGCCGCCGTGTTGTAACTCTAAAAAATATATAACACTCTGAGGAGAGGATTCATGACCCTTCAATCATCAGAAACTCAATAGGACAAGGTTTTAAACGAGCTTCGTCGGTCACCTTTTCTTGTCGCTCTGTCTCTTATCGAGACCCAAAGACAAGGTTCCAAGTAACCCACAAGATCCGTTTCATTCCCTTTCAAATGTGTTCACCGGAGACTTGACTCCAATTAATTACAACCAGGTATTTGCTCTTTGCTCATACCAAAAAAAGGCCTGGCACAAATCACAAATAAATTTGAGCCACCGCTTATATATCAACAAGTTAAAGAACAGCGTACTGTTTTGATGTCAATGTAGCTGAGAGGTCCTTAATTTTGGAGGCTTCACCTTTCCCGTCAATGTGGCTGGAGTTTCGCGCATGCTCTTGACACGATACTGGAGCCTGTGACAAACTACCTGAGTTGATGCGGGAAGTAATATCCTAGGTTTCAGATTCTGTAGCAAGCACACTTACATACATTTATCATAAACAAAAAAATAGCTTTAACAGCTTCAGGTGGCATGTTTTTAACCAACAGCATTTGCATAAGCATATAATTTATTGAAGATTCTTTGAAGATTATGTAGGGCCTCCTTTACATTTTCATCTCCGGGAAGGTGGAAATCAAATTTCCACAAGTGATGCCGCCACTGAGTGCCTCAGGTTCTCCCGTGCCGAAGAGATCAAAACTGGGCGGCTCATGTTGCCCATACGGAAGATTCCCAGCTGCATCCTTTCCATGCGAGGCGCGATCGAACATTATCTAACATGATCTAACAGCAACTCAGCAACCTCATGTAACCATGATGTAACCATGGGACCATGGTGGAGATCGTCATCTTGCAGTGTACAGTTAGAGACACACTTGCTCAGAACTGTCGTATGGGAATTCGGTTGTGGAGTGCATCTTACGTGCAAAAACACCAACAATTAAATGACAAGATGAATATATACATATATGTATATATGTATATATATATATGTATATAAATGGCCGTATAATCACAGTAGACGTTGGCCATATAAAACAACAGCGATAACATATATATGTTCTCCCCCAGCTGCGACTTATATGCGCCCAGGGGCGGGACTATTTTATTGTGTATGCAGGTACAGGAATGTGAGTCCACATTCCCTTCCGGCTGAATCCCATAGCTTCGTTGGCATGGCTAGGGAAACAGCTGCCATGCCCCCTGCAACCTAATGAAGTTTTACATCTCTACAGATGGTACGCACAGACACACGCCCCGCAATAGCGGGGCGGATGAAATGGAAACGAAAGTGAGATGACAATGAAAATGAGATGACAGCTGCTTAACCGGGACACGAGACGGGGAACGCCAAAGAAGAAAGGAAAAAGGAGGGAACACCAACACCAACACACCTAGCCCAGAGCGGGCAGACCCTGACAGGGACGGACGACGGACCAAACACCGACCAGAGGAGGGGGGGGCGGACAGAAGCGCCTGACACAACCTACAAGGCGAGAGCCAAACCTACCTCGGCACACGAAGGACCCAAACCTGACCTAACACGGGAGCACACATGAGATAGGGGACCAATGGGGGCCTGGCCTAGCTAAAAACAAAGTGATGCATCCAACAACTAGTGCAAAGGATCGTGACCAGGCTCAAAGGCCTTCGGCTGGCAGGTTAACCCCATAGACGGCTGTCTGTAGTCCCCAGCTGAATTACGTGCACAACTGAGCCTCACCAGAGTAACCAAAAAAAGAAAGTGACCACACCTGGAAGCATGTCCTGAAGCCTAAACTTGGTCATGTGACATGATGCGATTTGTCATGTTCCGTGCTCTCATGAGCAGTCTCTCGAGCATCACGGAAAAAAGGAGGTTTTCATTGCTCATCGTATTGACGGAGCAGTGTCCCTTCCTACAGTTCTCTCCAAGACAAAAGGTGGGTCCCCAGTACAGCGGGCCGCTGTTCAACACCACGACGTGCGACAGGTGAAACCATGAAAAAGGGCCAACTGTTTCACTTAAGCGAATTACTAGGTTGAAAAATGTAAATTCAGAGGTCAGGTCGGAGGATCGAAATTCTTACCTAGAAAGGTATTCCCCAAAGGGTTCATGCCACCTTGACGAATCCAGCATGAGCCACACACTTGCTCAGAACAGTCGTTGCGAATTCGGTTGTGGAGTGCACCTTACGTGCAAAAACACCAACAATTAAATGAGAAGATGAATATATATATATATAAAGGTATAATCACAGTAGACGTTGGCCATATAAAACAACAGCGATAAAAAATATATGTTCCCCCCAGCTGCGACTTAAATGCGCCCAGGGGTGGGACTATATTATATTGTATATGCAGGTACAGGAATGTGAGTCCACATTCCCTTCCGGCTGAATCCCATAGTTTCGTTGGCATGGCTAGGGAAACAGCTGCCATGCCCCTTGGAACAAAACGAAGTTTTACATCTCTACAAATGACACACACACACAAGTTCATCTTAAATATTTTAAGATTACTTCTCCAAAGGTAAATGTCCATCAGATTCATATCAGGCGGGTTGATCCAAAAATACTCAGCCAGGCCTACGATGCCTGGACGTCACGGGACATCCGGTGGAAACCCTTCCCCCAGAAATCGGGGAACTCACGTCCTTGACAAGGCAGGACAGATGCTGAAGGTAGCTTAGGTACAGCATAAACATATATATTATTGAAATAATGTAATATGCATCGTTTATCATGGTAGATGTATAATGATGTATACCTAGTAGATGGTGGTGGATGATGACAGGTGATGATGGACGATGATAGATGATGGTGGTAGAGGATGGCAGGTCACGCACAACTGATGTGAAGACGGTAGCCGACGAACACTGGACATCCGCTGCTGACAGGCTGGTGGTGGTGTCGTCTAATCTCACAGAGCTGCCGGAAGAGCTGTGCAAACTTCTGTATTTGGAACAGTGTCTCGGAAAAAATAATCATGAATTGCATGGTGTGCGTGTACAGTTCATTACTTCCCTTTATCATCCTTTATCTGTATTATTATCAGTCCCTAAATCCTTTTGGGGGTACCCAATGTTGACCCCCTGGCGAAGATTATAGATTAGGAAAGAAGAACCAAGAAAACCATGCTAAAAATGGAACTCAGGAAGCCCAGTGCAGATCATTGCATTGACTTTTATCATCACGTGCATATCTTGGGCCTGTTGCGTCTTCGCTTGCGTTTGCTGTAATAGCTCTTCATTTGTGGAGGTTGGTAGTGAGCTGCTGTCCTATCCGTCGATTGCCAGAAGATTTGTGTGTCTTGGCATGGCTTTTCCCAGAGCACACTGTACAGGTATTATCAGGTATTATTTACTAGCTAGATCTGGCTAGAACATGGCCGTTTGTGAGCGAGCACACAGGAACTCGATTAAATTTTCCCTAGTTCCTCTCAGGGCTCTTACGTGCTGTTGAGGCAACTTGGTGCGCCTGTGGGACTTCTACTTTGATGGCAACCAGCTGGTGGAGATGCCGCAGAAATTTCCACCCCTTCTCAACGGGATCAAAGACTGAGCCTCATTGCGCTGGGTTTGATTCACCAGCCATGGCAGCCACGGACAGTCGCGACAGACGCATTTTTTGTGGCGCTCGGCTCTCAAGTTGTATCAGCTGAGGTCT